CCGCCGCCGCCGCAGGCAGCACCCCTGCGACGGCGGCGGCAGCAAGCCGTGGACCGAAACGCCGTGCCGCCGAGTCCCGTGGCTGTGGCCGTGGGCTTCTGGCAGGAAACTACGGCCGCAACTCGGCAGCACGGGGGCGTCGCAGCGTGCCCCCGCCGCCGCCGCGCTGCCCCCCGGGCACGGCGGCGGCGGCAGCAAGCTTGGGCCCAAACGCCGTGCCGCCGAGTCCCGTGGCTGCGACCGTAGACCGTGGGCCGGAAACTGCGGCCGCAGCTCGGCGGCACGTGGTTCTGTTCAAATCGCCAAGCGTGCAGCAGCGCCGAACCACGCTTCCCGGCCTCGGCGCATGCCTTCAGGGGCCCCCTATCGCTGGGCACACCCCTCCAACACCGAACATGCGCCCGGGGGGGAGGGCGGCCCGGGCTGCCCAGGCCAAAGTGGGCCGCCCTCGAGCAAGAGGCGGCCGGTCTGTGTGCTGAATGAATGAATGGATGCGTACTACTCAGGCCTGCACGCTGAGTTTTTCGCCCAGCGAGCCAGCCTGGGGAGGCCCAGCGGCAGAGGCGGCGCAGCAGCAACAACAGCAGCAGCTCGAGCACCGGGCGGAAGGCCTAGCGGCTGGGTGATTTGCTGCCTGTCTGCTGCATTGCTGTTACAGTTTCAGTCCAACATTTACCCTTATTAACATGACCTGCATTTCAAGGCCTGCCTCGGACCGTTTTGTGCCCATCCCACTTGTATATCCCATGCTGTGGGCCTGCCTGCACATCGATGCATCATGGCCTTCCATATGGCCTTGCACCGAAGGCCTAGCTGTTGTCGTTGAGCTGGGCTGCCAGCTGTCAGTCAGTATCGAGTCACATGGGGGGGCTGACCAGTGGTCCTCCCCAGCCGTGCCACAGAGGCGCAGGGCGTGCTGCTGTCAGCCAGTGAGCAGGCCGTATCCCGGCTTGGATGGGTCCATTGTGTTGCCCGCCCCCAGCACCTCCCTCGCCTGCAGCCAGCCAGGCCGCGGTGGGATAGGAAACGGTCCGATGGGGAATGGTCTGGAGTGCTGTGACTTGAAGTTGCAGCTTTGCTTGCAAGAGCCACACAAGCTGTCGCTGGCGCATCAGCCGTCAACTAAGCTCTCACCTGCATCTCGGCTGTCGCCGTTGATGGCAGCATGGGCCCCGGCATTGCGGCGGCACTCGGCGAGGCCGGCCCACCGCCAGGCACCGACCCCAGCACTGTGCCCGCAGCGCTGCCTGCACGCCAAGCACACGACGGCATTGCCATATGGGGTGCCGCCGCGTGGGGATGGCCGGGGACCAGGAAGTAAAGCAGTTTAGAAGCAGCACGCTGTCCGCTTGCATGGCGCATCCCTCGCACCATGCGTATGGTTCTGTCTGGGGACCCCCCCACCGGCTCACCAATCTCCTCTCCAGGCGCACCCTCCTTGACCAGGAGCAGCCCCAGGTGGAGGTGGCCCGCCGGCTTGCCCGCCTTGTCCGTCAGCTGCACCGTGGCCTCATGCTGGCCGCCGCCATATCTGCAGAGTGGTTGGGCCACATGGCAGCTCAGGGTGCCGCCGACACTCCAGCTGCTGCGTTGCGTCCGCATCAGCTGGCATTGGCTCGGCCAGCAAGCACGTGGCTGCGGCGGCATCCCCCGGCGCCAGGCACTCACAGCAGGTCTCCCAGCGTGGTGGTGCCGCTGGCGATGAAGCGGTCGGGGCAGAGGCGCACGCGGCTCATGACGCGCACCCTGATCTGCAGGGGCTGCTCGTTGGGGAGCGGCGGCGGCAGGCGCAGCTCGATGGCCTCGTCCCATACCTGCAGGGGCGGTGGATGGGACATTGGTGAAGGGACAGCAGGGGAGGGGCTAGGCGACACTCAGCACAGGGCTGCAAAAACATCGTTAAGACGGGCCAGCGGCAGCGCAGGCTTGGCATGTGGCAGCTCGGCTCACCGGGTTGTCGCCGCCCAACGCCACGGCAGTCTCCAGGGTCGTGCCGCCAAGCTCCAGCACAACATACGGGCTGGTGGTCGAGGCGCCGATGTCCGCGGCGGCGCGCACCGTCACCACCAGGCGGCGCTGGGCTCGCCCCTGCATGGTCTGCGGCAGGCGCTGGGCGGCAGGCGGTGCAGGCAGGGTCACTGGTGGTGTAGACTGCATTTGGGCCTCAGGGACAGGGAACTGGGCAGAGGCATGCTCAACTTGTCGTCCAACCTTGTCAGGTTTCTTGAATACGAGGGCTTGCACTGCAGTCGGCTCACGGGCTCAAGAAGCAAAATGAAGAGCAAAAAACAAACGTGTGAATCTTTCTGCCCAATCATCTTTCTTCCTGGCGGCTGCCACCTCTCAGCCAGACCCATTGCCCCCTGCCCACCTCGGAGCCAACATGCTCAGGGCAGCCGCCGCGACGCTGCTGCAGCGGGCCTCGCTGCCCTCCTCTGCGGCCTTCACCGCTGCAGCCTTGGACCTGCCCTGCTCCTTTGTGCCGCACAACGAGCTGCCCTGCAAGCCCAGGACCAGCGGCCTCACCGAGATCCGGGGCCCATACTACACACCTGTGACACCTACATATTTGCGCGAGTTGCTAGATGCGGTGCGCGGCGCTTCGCGCTGTCCCGCCTCCAGCAGCGGGAATGCCGCGCCTGCTGAGCCTATGGTGGGGCTGCATGTGGGTTTGTGTTGCACCCGTGCCGTCGCAGGTGGGCCATGCCGTGGATGGGCTGAAGTTTGCTGGCGGAGCCTTCCACGTGATGAACAGGCGCGCTGTGAAGGCGCTCAACGACGAGGCCCACAAGCATGATGTGTACACCAGCACGGGAGGATGGATCGAGCATGTGCTGGCCACGGTAGGCGACAGGTCACAACACAGCTGCCGCCAGCTGCAGCAGGGCTGCGTCAGCCACTGGCATATGGCGGGAAGGTGCATCCCGCTGCGTCCTGCTGCCATGCATGCCATATGGCTCTGCTCCGCAGGGGCGCAGCCGGGAGACGGTACAGCAGTACCTGGCAGAGTGCAAGGTGCTGGGGTTTGACACAGTCGAGGTCTCCACCGGCTTCATCAGCCTGCCTGACGACGACCTGGTAGGTAGTGGTGTGCCTGCTGTGCAGGCCTTTGCTTTTGGCCCCTGTTGCCTAGTAACCAGGTTGCTTACCAGGAGGCGCTACTGGCCATGTTGGAGTGCATCCCTTCATTTTTGCAGGTGCGCCTGGTCAAAGACGTGCGGGCGGCAGGGCTGAGGCCCAAGCCCGAGGTTGGCATACAGTTTGGTGCGGGCGGCGACAGCTCGGCGGCGGAGTTGGCAGCGGAGGGGACGCTGGATGTGTCCTGGGCCATTCGCCGGGCGCGGCGCTGCCTGGAGGCGGGCGCTGAGATGGTCATGATTGAGTCTGAAGGCGCGGGTGCTAGCCTGTTGCTCTCCCCAGCATCAGAATAATGTGCTTGCCAGCGGAGGCAGACAGCCAGCCCTGGCGCTGTGACGTGGCATGCCCCTGCTGCCGGCACTCCCTGGCCTGGACAGGCATCACAGAGGACGTTGCCTCCTGGTGCACCAACGTGGTGTCCAGGCTGGTGGATGCGGTGGGGCTGGAGCACCTCCAGTTTGAAGCTGCCGACCCGCCGGTGTTCAGCTGGTGGGTGCGGGGCACGCAGGGGCACAGTGCGACGGCACTTCCTGGCTGGCAGATCAGGTCCTCTGCGCCAGGCCGACCCTCCCTGCACCTGCAGGTACATCAAAACTTTTGGCGCTGGGGTCAATCTGTTTGTGGACCACTCGCAGATCGTGCAGCTGGAGTGCCTCAGGCGCGGCATCTGGGGAACCAAGAGCACGTGGGGGCGCCTGTTGACCTATGGCAATGGCGGCGGCAGTGGCGCCAGCAGTGGCGGTGCCAGCACCCCTCAGCGGGAAGCATGATGCGGTGTGCCTGGGGATGATGCCGCGACCAGCTGGATGAGCGGCCGGCCCTGGCAGACCTGATGCTGCGCCATCACAGCCATGCATCTCTTTCAAAATCAGTGCACCGAGGTGCTGCACAGGTTGGGGCCTCCCAGTTGTGCCTCTTTTGTGCTGTTCCGCATGTGGCCGCAATCAGGATGCATGCGCCTGAGCCTTCTGCACTTGCAGGCCACCAGGCCAACCGTGTAATCCCTCCAGCCATCACCAGAGGCGGGGCAGTGCTTTACAGTGAAACAGGATAGGATAAGAGCCAGAGAGTGGTGATGGGTGTAGAGGTTGGTAGAGCAAACAGAGAAGGTGTACGGAGAGGGACAGCAGTGATAGCCAGGGAGGGATCGCAAACAGGATTTGCCTGCACTAGCAAGAGAAATGGGCATCACACTACTGCACACAATGAAACAGCACAAAGTCGTGGCACGATCACCGCCGGCCACCGCGGCGCTGCCGCTCACGGCCGCCGTGCGCCGAGGGCTCCTCCTGCTCCCCGCCCGCGTCGCCGTCGTCGCCGACGCGACTGCCGCCGGCATGCTGCAGCGGGCGGCCGGGCCCGGGCGGGGCGGTGCCGTGGGGATGCAGGGCTGCGAGGAGGTAGGTGGGCAGTTCTGACACCGACACATCCTCCTCCAGCCTCGCATTCATGGCCTTGACGCGCACAGTGTCGGCGGCTGCACACGGCACGGCATGAGGGTGGGGGCAGCGGTCGGCGGCTGGCAAGGGAGAGGAAGGCGTCACGCAGCTACCACCACTGTCCATGTGCCCAAATCAGCAGCAGCAGCAGCAGCAGCAGCAGCAGCAGGCGGGCACCCACCCTCGAATGTGTTGGCATTGATGATGACGAGCCAGGGGATGCCGCGGGACTGCGCATACTCGTATTGCTCCGTCAGGCTGGGCGCCGCCTGGGGCAGCATCTCGGCAGCCAGCCCCGCATCCCACAGGCTGCGGGCCAGCGCCATGCGCTCCTTCAGCAGGCCCCCGCCGCCGCGGCTGCACACCAGCACGTCCGCCTGCGACAGGCGCGGCAGCCCCGCGACTGCAGGCGGCGAGGGAGGAGGAGCAGGCTGTGAGGTCGCCAGCACAGAGATGAAGACCTCGGCTCCCTTGCAATCGGCCAGCCGCCAGGCACTGGGCTCACCGGGCGCGGGGCTGCCAGGCGTGCTCCACCGGCTGCTGCCCTGCGCCACCGCCACCAGCCGGTCTGCGTTGAGGGTGACCCCCACCGCGTGCAGCGGCGGCATGGATGCCACCGTGCCGCTCAGCGCCGACTGCCGTGCCCACGAGGCCTTGAGCAGGGAGTCGTACCTACGGCAGGAGTGGGGGTGGGTTGGAGCGGCATGTGAGCAGGCACGCAGCGGGAAGGAAGGTTTGGCAGCGCTCTGCCGAGGCCTTGCCTTCAACCCTCCACCCACACACCTGCCCCCCGCGGCCACCACCGCGGTTGCTCCGCTGGCCCCCTGCACCAGGTGGCACTGGAACAGGGCGCCGCTGAAGGCCTCGCTGTGTGGCGCCAGCAGAGGGTCCACCAGCAGAGAGCACTGGGGCACGCCCCACGCCTGCAGGCAAGCAGGCAGGCAAGCACGCAGGCAGGCAGGCAGGGAAGTGGGCGCACTTCAGCCAACAGTGGCGAGCTGCAATTGGCACTGCTGGCCTCACTGTTGGCGGCCATGGCAGTGATGGCCAGCAGGGTGGCAGGCAGGGAGGGCAGGGCCAGCCCAGCACGCGCGCCAGCCCAGCACGCGCACGAGTGCCGCAGCAAGTGGCAGCCAGCCAGCGCAGGCCAGTTTGCAGCCAGCTGGCGCACGCCACCCGGCTGCCCACCTGCAGGTACTGCAGCAGGCTCTGCAGCTCGTCCAGGCATGCCAGCGCCGCAGTGGTCGAGTGGGGCCGCGGCCCAGAGCGCTGACCGCCGCCATGCTGCCGCCCCGCCGCCGTGTGGGCGAGCATCGTGCGCAGGCGGAACAGCGCCGCCTCGGCCTCCCCCGCCGCCTGCACACACAAGCATGCGGGCCGGCACACGCCTCATATGCACCACCTTGACAACAACACGCCTGCGTGCAGCCCGCATCCACCCATGCATGCCCACGTGCCCGCTGCCCTCCCCGCCAGCCGCACCGCACCTGCAGCACCAGCTGGCGGCAGCGCCCGATGGCCTCCGCCGACAGCCCAATCCCCTCCAGGCCGGCCTTGATGGAGGGCCAGCGCTTGGAGCGAGCGGTGGCGTGCAGCGGCGAGGCGGCGGAGGCTGTGGAGAGCAGCTGGATGACGGAGCCGCGCGCCTCGCGCGACACGCCCACAAAGGCCAGGGACAGCTCAAACAGGGAGCGGTGGCCCAGCCGCACCTCCACATCGCCGCACTCGGGCAGCTCCGCCAGCGCCTCATGCGTGCAGGTGATGACCTGGGGCGGTTCAATGAAAGGGGGGGGGGATGGTGGTGAGGTGGCCAGGTGGCCAGGCCTTGGGGACTGTGGCCCGTCAGAGTATGGGGCCAGTGGGAGGCCCAGGCGCTGCCTCATGTGCCCGACCAACCGCCCACCCGCACGCCCGCCCAGCCCACCTCTGCATCCCCCAGCAGCAGCTCCGCGGGGGTGCGGTCCCCCGGCAGCACAAAGTCGAGGTCGGCCTGCAGGAAGCTTCGGGGGAGGCCCTGCCCCGCGGCGTGCCGCTGCACCGCCGCCACCTCGTACCGCCTCAGCCCGTCCAGCAGCAGGCTGCCGCCGCCGCCCGCCGCCGCCAGCTGCTGCACAAACCAGGCCACAAAGGCCTGGCGCAGCTCCCAGCGCAGCGCCAGCTTGGCGCCGGTGGGGGTCAGCAGCTGCACGGCGCCGGGCGGGTCCTCCCCGCTGGACAGCCCCAGCTCCTGGCTGCACATGCCCACCGCGCCGTGCCGCTCGAAGCAGTCCTTGAGCACAGACAGCACGTGGTCACGCACAGCCATCTGCGGCAGCAGGGGGAGCGGGGGGAGTGGCAGGCCAGGGTCAGGGTGGGGCCTCAGGGTAGGGCAGCTTGCATGCGCCAGGCAGGTGCACGGCCTCCCTCCACGATGGCCAACAGCCGACCGATGGACCGCCAGGCGGCGGCCAGCAGCCAAAGCAGGAGGGTCTGGCAGGCGGGGCGCCGCCGCACCTGCACAGGGATGGGTGCACCGGGCGCCTCCAGCGCCGCCGCCGCCGTGGCTGCGCTGGATGTGCGCGCCAGGGAGAAGACTGCGTCCAGCACTCGCTCGTGCATGGCCGGGTTGTCGGGCAGGCAGCGCAGCAGGTCGGTCAGCTGCTCGTCCAGCACCTGCACGGGAGGGGAAAGGTGCAGGGGTGGGGGAGGTGTATGGGTGTGAGGCGGAGGCGGAGGGTCACACAGACGGAAGGGGGAGGGCAGGAGGCACCCCTTCCCGCCCGCCTGGACCCCCGCCGCCAGGCCCACCCCGTGCTTGCCTGCGGCGGCAGCAGCTCGGAGCGCAGGACCTCCACCGCAGTAGGCCTCTCCGCCGGGTTGGGCGCCAGCAGCCAGCGTATGACGCGGCACACCACCGGGTGGTCAGCCTCAAAGTCTGCGGGCATGACGCCGTGCTCGCGCAGGTCGCGCAGCAGCACGGCGCGCTCCATGGCGGTGGAAAAAGGCTTCCACAGCTCAAATGCCATGACACCCAGCGAGAAGAGGTCCACCTTGGAGTCGTATCTGCAGCAGCAGGAGGAGGGGGCGGCAGGGTGTGTGTGGAGCTGGAGGCGTCTCGAGCGCCCTCTGCTCTTCCCCCGTGCCAACCAGCTTGAAGAGCCAATGCTGAGCTATTGGTGCTGGTGCTTGCAGGCAGGTAGGCAGGCAGGCAGGCAGGCGGGGCGGGCGCACTCACGTGGCCCATCCCTCGCTGATCTCGGGGCTGATGTAGTAGGAGGTCCCCACCAGGCCGGTGGTGTCGCTGAGCAGCGCCGAGGCACCGGCCACGCCGCCCGCCGCCCACCCCGGCTGCCCCGCGCCGTGCAGGCTGGGCGAGGGCTCGGGGTTGTCGTCCGCGCCATCGCGGTTGTACTTGGCCAGCCCTGCGCTTGCCGGGCGGCGGGGCGTGTGATGCGGGTGGCGCGCTTGTTGGCAGCCTGTAGGGCCGGAATCATGGAGCAGGACACCCAGCGGGCACAGACACGCAGGCCAGGCCAGGCTCTCCAGTCTGGCGGTGCATCTCACGGCGGCAGCTGCCAAGTGCAGGCTCGGCAGCCCTCCCTGCTGTGCTCACCAAAGTCTCCGAGCTTCACGTTGCCCTGGCTGTCCAGGAAAGTGTTGGCAGGCTACAGGCAGGTGCAGCAAGGCAGGCTGGATGCAGGCGCCACAAGCCCAGCCTGCCCACCTGTCCACTACACCGCCAGCAGTCCAGCATGCACATACGGTTCAGAGCGCAGCGCAGCGTACGCGGCAGGCAGCACCCCGCACCTTGAGGTCGCGGTGGATGATTCCCTGGGAGTGGATGTGGGCCAGGCCCGCCAGGATCTGGCGCAGGATGGACCACCGCCGCTCCTCATCCAGCTCCCGGCTGTCCAGCACGTCGCGCAGGGTGCGCGGGCAGAACTCCATCTGGAGACGCAGCAGGGGGTTGGGGTGTGGGGGCACACAACGGTTGGCTTTCCAGGGGATGAGGGTGGGCCCCTGCACCGCAGCACCAGCTGTGCCCCTCCTCCCCAGCGCGCCTTGCTCTACCGCCCCACCTGTATGAACAGCGTCTGCTGCATGGCGCGCTGGCGGGGCCCGGAGCGCCGCGAGGGCTGTGTGCCAGGGGGCTGCGTCAGGCTGGCGCCGCCCGGGGGCGGCCTGCTGCGATCGAATGTGAAGTCGCTGCCGCCGGCGCTGAGGGTGAGGGAGGCGTGGGCGCCGCCCCGGCCGCCGTTGGCAGTGGCAGCCCCTGCTGAGCTAGACAGGGTGCCGCTCTGGCTGCAGCTGTGGCTGGCTGACTGGCTGCCGCTCGTCGACTGGCCATCCCACGCCGACAGGAACCCGCCTCCCTCCAGCAACGCGTTGGCCCCTGCCACCGCCATGTTGCCGCCGCCAAACCCAAAGCTGGCATCCGCCCGCAGCTCGCCGCCGCGGCTGCTGTCGTCGCTGCCGCTGCCGCTGTCGTCCCCGCTGTCGTCCGTGCTGTGCCCGCTGGCCTCTCGGAGACCGCGGGTTCCCTTGGAGGGCGTGCTGGCCCGCCCTTCTCTGCTGACTTCCGCAACTGGCGCCAGGTGGCCGCGACTGCCTGCGCCACCCATTGCCAGGGCGGCAGATGAGCCCGGCCTGGACCCCAGCCCGGCCGGGGCCGCTCCCCACCCTCCGCCGCCGGTGCTGCTGGGTGTGAGCGTGTCGGAGCCCCACTCATCCAGCTCCGAGTCCTCGCCGTCGTCAGCCAACATGCAGGCCTCCACCCTGCGTGAGGTGAGGAAGGAAGGCTTGGGGTTGGTTGGAAGCATGGACGGAAATTGATAGCAGCACAAGCCTGGGAAGGGACCCTATGCATAGCCGAAGCTGAGCTGGGCCCAGCATGCATATCAGGCCAGGCAAGCCAGCCCGCCAGACCAGACAAGAACCAAGGGCACCACCTGCCGCCATCCACCCAATGCCTGCAGCCCCGCCTCACCATGCCTGGTAGTAGCGCACCACGTTGGCGTGCTGCAGCCGGGACAGGGTGGTCACCTCGCGCATGATGCGCTCAAACGCGCCCGAGGAGTGCGCCTCCAGCGGGATCTTCTTCACCGCATACTGCCGCCCGTCTAGCCGGTTGATGGCTGCAGCGTGGTGGGCGGTGGTGGTGTCATGTGGGTTGGGGGAAGAGAGAGGTGGGAGAATGACAAGGGGCACAGGTATGATGATGGGCAGCGTCAGAAGTAGCAGGGCGGGGGTGCTTCATGAGCAGCTTACCTGAGACAACCACGCCGTACCCTCCCCGCCCCAGCGGCCGCAGCTCTGTGAAGTCGGTTTCGTAGCGCGAGGCGGGCAGCGGGTCGGCAGCGGGGGACAGCATGCCAGAGCGGCTGCAGCAAGTGCAAAGACGTGAACACGTAAACAGAAACACAGGCAGGAAGGTGTGCGGGGGCCCAGAAGGCTGCAAGCAGGTTGGGCCCCACCTGCGCATGTGCCCCAAGCTGCGGGAAGCCAGCAGCGGCGCCGCACGCCGCTTCCAGAATCGCTGCGCGGCCCAGTGCATGGGATCCTCCGACTCGCTCTCATCAGGCTCGGCAGCAGCAGCCTCCAGCTCCTGCACGCGCTCACAGGCGAGCAGGCAGCAGGGATTGTGAAACAAGGCAGCCAAGCAAAGCGCGCCAGCATTCACCAGCCAGGAGCAGGAATGGCAGCGCCACAGCAGCAGCCCAACCTGCTGGAAGACGCGCTGGAAGGCTCGGTCGAACAGGGCTGGCTGCTGGGTGAGAGTGTACGCCAGCCACTTTGGGATGAGGCCCTCCGCCTGCAGCATGCCCGCGATGCTGGGCAGCGCATGCGGCGGCACCGCGCCGCTGCTGGCTGCCAGCGTGAGCAGGTGGCCCAGGAAGAGCTCCTGCCTGATGAGCCGCCGGTCCTCCTCGCCCAGCTGCACCACGCTGGCCTCCCCGCCTTCCGACCCCTCAGGTGTGCCGCTAGGGCCTGCACAGGTGGCGGGTGTGCGGACAAGTGGAGAGGCCTCGCGTATGATTGTGTGCAAGGGGAGCCATGCCTCGCTGGCAACCATGGACACCTCCCAGCCGCTCACCATCCACGTATCTGCGCAGGGCCTTGGGCAGCACGCCGCGGATGCTGTGCCCCAGCGTCTTGAGCATGCTGCCGCCGCCGCCAGAGGATAGCCCGCTGTCATGGCCCGCCTTGAGGCTGCCCCGGGAGTCTGCGGCAGAGACGTGCGGCAGGGCGCCGCCTGTGCTGGCTTGCCGCACGCCTGCTGCTGCGTGCACCTCGCCAACGGCAGGCGCCTCCTCAGCGCCAGGTTCCCGCTCGCCCGCTGTCGTAGCATCTGCAGCTGCAGCTGGTGCAGCTGCCGTCCCGCCTTTTGCCGCCACCTGTGCCACAGATGCCACGCTGGCTTCCATAGCCGGCACCGCTGGTGTGCGCGGCGGTGCCGGTTTGGGCGGCCTGGCGGCCTGCTTGCTGCGCACCTCCACCACCGGCACCGCTGCCGCCGAGGCAGGCATGGCCATTCCCGACCCCGACCCCGCCATGGGCAGCTCTGTGGCGTCGGAGAACAGGCCGCCTCCCTCCAGGGTGTCGTAGAAGGTGTCACCCATGATGGGGGCGCGGAAGCTCTGCTCCCGCGACGCCGCCGCGGCCGCCGCCATGTCGCGCTGCAGCATTTCATGCCACAGGCTCTGGGGCGCCGCCGCCACCGCCTCCTCCTCGTCTGGCGCGCAGTTGTGCTCCTGCAGGAACTCCTGGGCCTCGGTGATGAGCTGGAAGGAGCAGACCTCGCCGTCGGCGGCATACTGCGCCGCCGCGGTGTGCAGCCGTTTGCTAAGCTGGCGCACTGCTGCCTCCTCCAGCCCGCTGGCGTCCGTAAGCTTCAGGGTGAGCTCATCAGAGGGATAGTCATCGGGAAAGCTGCACCCAGGCAGGCCAGGAGTTGTGTGTGTGTTTTTGCAAGCACCTAAGGGGGGGGGGGGGGGGGGGGGGGGGGGCAGGCGTGCTTGCCACAGGGGCTGGCCTCATCTGCCTGAGGTCAACCAATTCAGACAAGAGGTTGGCACCTCGGCGCAGCATGGGAAAGGCACCACAGCCAGCCACAGGCGGCAGTGGCCGCTTGCAGCGGTGCCTCCGACGTCCTACCCCACCTGACGACCAGCGTGACAGACACGTAGTTTGCCTCTGCCTCGCCGGGGTGCGGCACAACCTGCAGGGTGAAGCCCAGGCTGTCGTGGCCTTCGTGCACCTCAATGTCCTCCCCGAAAATGGCAGTCAGCGCCAGGAGCTCTTCCTTGGCCTCCTCTTGCTCCAGCGCCGCCACTGCCGCCGACCGCCGCTTGCCCCCTTGCTTCTTCTTCTTCCCCATCGCTGTGGGCGTGACTGCAACCACAGTGTGGGGCAGCAATCCAGCTTTGGAGCCCCGCAGGCAGCAGCGAAACTGGGCGCGCGGACCCAAGCGCTTGGGTCTCCGCAGTTGAACCAGGCTGGATCGAGGTGGGCTCGGGGTTGTTTCGCACCGTCGAATGCGAGGGTGGCTTCGACGGCGCTCTCGAGTCCAGGGAGTCCCGTTTAATTTGCCTAGCCCATGATGCGTGCGTTGTGGTGTTTTACACACAGCAGGGAACTTTGCACATATGGCGGAGCTCTGATTGATGACGCCCTGGGTGGCGGCGCTGGCGCTGAGCTGGCGGCGGCGTTGCACCAGGCTGGAGCCTCCAGGGGAGGTGGGTCCTGAATGCTGGGTGAGGCACACGGGCTGAGCCATCGCCATCAGTGCTCAGGCGAGCTACATATCCTCCTGCATGGCAGTGCAGACGCGGCGATGAAGATGCCGCGTTCACGAGGGCAGGCGCCCGCTTGTTGCCCCCATTCCCGGGGCCAAGGTGCAGAGCCTCCCCAATGTCATCCAATCCCAGCCCTTGGATCCCCATGTACCTGGGCCCACATGTACGCCTCCTGTTCACGCCGCTTGAGCTCAGTCTGCCGCTTGAACATCTCCCTGCATTGCATGGCAGGTGTAAGTGTAGCGTATTTCCATTGCCCTCCCGCTACAGCGCCACACCTCTAAGGGAGGTCTCCTGAAGCCAGCCCAACTCACCCCTCAAAGCCGTTGCCGCGATCCACGCCGTCCCAGTGCCTGCCCGGCCGGATATTGTAGCGGTTGGAGGGGGGTCCCAGGCCGCGGCGCAGCCAGCTGTGCTTGGGCACCTCCTGAGGGATGATGAACCCGCTCTTCTTCATGCGGTCCGCGTGCCGCTCCACCAGCGAGGCTGGCGCCGCCAGCTCCGGCTCCTTGGCCTTCACCAGGCCCGCCTGCCAGTCGGGAAGCAGCGGGCAGGGAGGCAGGGACATGACCAGGCAGGCAGCAGAAATGGGGTGGGGCATGCAACCAGCAACTGTATGCACACAGACGGCCCTCTCCAGGCACATGGCCACCCTCTCCAGCTGCTGCAAGCCCACCATGGGATCGCCCCAACGCGAGCGGCGACGGTGCATCGCATCCAGCTCCGCATCGTCACGGCTGCGTGCAAACGGCTTGGATGCCTCTGCCGCCATGGCCGCACCACGCTCTGCCGCGTCCACGCGCTGCTTCAGGCCGCCGCCCCACTCCAGCTGCTGCTCATCATCGTACTGCGCTTTCTTCTTGGCCGCCGCCTGCTCCTCCAGGAACGCCTCCTTGCTCACCTTGCGCCCCTCCTTGTCGCGGAACACCTGCAGGCGCCACCACAAGAGCGCGCATGTGGGCATGCTCAAACCGGGCAGCTGCGAGCCAGCAGAACAGCTGCCCAGCGAACGTGTGCCCACCCAACCCACCGTCTGTGCACCGCGCCCCGTCACATCCGCCTCCAGCTCCGCAAACCGCTGCCTCTCCCGCTCCCGCTTGCGCTGCATCTCCGCCGCCAGCTCGCGGCCTGTGGCACAGCCAGCTTGGGTGCGGGTTTGTTCAGCGAACAGGTTGCAGGCAGAGGCACAGAGTGCCAATCGAACAGCGAGTGGCGAATCTGGGCATGCCTCGCTGGGCACGCCGCATCGGTGCGCGATAGAGCAGGCGTCTGCTGACAACAGCTGTCCCATACCATTACAGCAGCAGAAGAGCAGCGGCTGCCGCACCTGACACCATGCCCGCCACCGTGCCATCTGACATCATGCGCCGCCTCTTCGCCTCGGCTGCCGCCTCCTCGTCTGAGCCCTCCTCGGCTCGGCGCTTCTGCGGCAATGAGGCATCTGCATCCGCTGCACCCTGCTGCCTGCGTGGTGGAGATGCATCCCGGCTGTCAGCTCCACGCCTGCGGGGCGGCGACACATCTGCGGATGCCTGGCGACGCCGCGGTGGCGACGAGTCTGGGCTGTCATGCCGCTGCCTGCGCGGCGGCGAGGCGTCTGCGCTGTCGTGCCGCTGCCTGCGCGGCGGCGAGGCGTCTGGGCTGTCGTGCCGTTGCCTGCGCGGCGGCGAGGCGTCTGGGCTGTCGTGCCGTTGCCTGCGCGGCGGCGACGCGTCTGGGCTGTCGCGCCGTTGCCTGCGCAGCGGCGACGCGTCTGGGCTGTCGTGCCGCTGCCTGCGGAGCGGCGACGCGTCTGGGCTGTCGTGCCGCTGCCTGCGGGGCGGCGAGGCGTCTGCTGCTGCTGCTGCCTCTGGGCGCCTGCGAGGTGGCGAAGCGTCTGGGCTGGATTGCCTGCCCTTACGTGGGGGTGAAGCATCGGCTGCTCCCTGCTCTGCAACTGCCCAGCCACTGCCATCGGCGCGCTGCTTAAAGAAATGCTTCTCCCGCTCCGCCAGAAGCTTCAGCCGCTCCGCCTCCTCTGGGTTCACCACCACGGGCTGGTCTGCAGGGTGACGCCGGGCGCAGCGAGCACAAGGAATTGAGCATGGCACTGCAGCACCTGGTGACGCCAGCCACTGACATCAATAAGCAGGTAAGGACCTCCCGTGGATGCTCCAACCAGCTATATGCTAACCGCACCTTCATCCTCCTCGCCTTCCTCCAGCTGAGGAGCCGCCACCGGCCCCCGCTCCGCTGCTGCCGCCGCCGCTGCCGCGAACCCGCTAACGTCCTGGTCCAGGATTTTTATGCCTGGCCCTCCCGCCTCGGGCTTCTTCCTCTTCTTCTTCTTCTTCTTCTCGGGCTCAGCGTCGCCCGCGCCATACTGCGCAGCCAAATAGGCCTGCAGCGCCTTGCTCTTCTCGCTCACGGGCTTCTTCTCCTTCTCCCCAGATCGCAGGCTGCTGACTCCTTTAAACATCGCGACTCTAGGCCGGCGATGGAGGAGCGAAGTGGTGGGAGCTCACCAAGCGAGAGTCCCAGCCCCCCAGATGCGAAGCGCACACTCCCGGTCAGAGAGAGACTCTCAAGGGAACGCTCTTGTCTTGAACCTGCTGGCACCCAGCTGGCCTGTGCACAGCTGAGCATGGGCTGTCGCCCTCGGGGTGGGCGGGCTTCTTCTTCTACGCTCAGCACAGAGAATTGGAGGAGAGAGGGAGGGTGCCCAGGCGTCCAAGGGCGGTGTGAGCCGGTGAGACTTGACTGGCGGCCCACTCGTGGGGCGCCAACAACGCTGTCCAGCTTGGCGCCCAGTGATTCTAAAGTCAAAATCCGCGAGCCGACACGCCCCCGAGAGCCAGCGGGTCACCTCTGCTAGCCACCGCCCACCCGCCATCCCTCCCTCGATTTCCACGCTGCAGATGTCGTCCACGCAGCCCGTCGACGCCAGCCCAAATAGCAAAGCCGCACTGTGGCGCATCAACACCGAGCTGCGGCAGAGCAACCAGCAGCTAGAGCGAGAGCTGCAGAGCCTGCGCCAGGTCGAGGCCTTGCGGCGCCTGACCCGCTCCTCGTCGGGCTTGAGCAGCCGGCGCAGCTCCATGCATGCCATGGCAGCAGAAGCGAGCCAGGAGAAGGTGGCCGGGTTGGAGGTGGCACTGCAGGAGGCCCTGGCAGAGGCGGAGGCGAGCCAGGAGAAGGTGGCGGGCCTGGAGGCGGCCCTGCAGGAGGCCAGGGCGGAGACGGCTGTGGCCCAGGCTGGGATAGCCGTGCTGTCAAAGAAGCTGCACAGCGCTCAAGCGGAAGCAGAGGAGCTGCTAGGGCTTCTGGGAGCTGCCCAGGACGGCTTCGCGGCAGCACAGGAGCTGCTGGCCGCCAAGCAGGTGCAGGTGCAGGCCCTGGCGCTAGAGGCAGAGGAGGGGCGCGCCGAGGCGATGGGGCTGCGGAAGGAACTGGAAGCGGGCAGGGCAGCGCTGGAGGCTGCCCAGCAGCAGCTGGCGAAGCGGCAGCCTGAGGAAAGCCAAGCGGTAGGTGCCAGTACCCTGCCGGATGCAGCGCCTGTGCTGCCGGCAGCAGAAGCCTCTACGCCCAGCACGTCGCGCCCCTGCTCGCGGGCCGAGTACGCCCAGCACCAGACGGCGGCCCCCCTGGAACAGATCATCACGCAGGTCTTTAGCGTGGTGCTACCGCCGGCAGAAGGCGGAGAGCAGGGCCAGGACCTGGTAGGTGGAGGGTCAGCTCAAGACAGGAATTGGCGTCGTCTGCATGCTGACCATGGGCTGCCATGACAGCCAGCCCTGCATCTGCTGGCCTCTTGACCTGCAGGTGCGCTCGCTGCAAGAGCGGCTGGCAGCTGCAGAGGCTGAGATAGCAGAGCAGCTGGCAGCCAAGGAGGAGGCGCAGCAGCTGCTGGGCATGCAGGCGGCGCAGCTGCAAGCTCTGCGTTGTGAGCGCGAGCTGCTTCAGGAGCAGGCGGTGTCGTTGCAGCAGGAGGCCTCAGGCATTGCCAAGGACCGCTTGCTGCGCGGCAGCGTAGAGGTGCTGCCAATGGAGCGCTCCCCCAGCCGCACCCTCACCCAGCGCGTCAAGGAGCTGCTGAGCCCTCGGCGCCAGTCCCCCAGCCGCAGCGGCAGCAGCCTCAGCATGGCTGCTGGCAGTGGCAGCCACCCTGCCTCGCCCACGGCAATGCCTATGGTGGCCGAGGGCGGCGAGTCACCTCTACAGGGCAGTGCTTTTGGCCTTGACGGACTAGCCAGCTGGGAGCTGCGGCGATGCCAGCAGCAGGTGGAGGCGCTGCAGGGTGCGCTGCAGGCCAAGGAGGCAGAAAGGCAAGTGCAGAAGGTGGAGGCTGCAGCTGCCCTGGCCATGGCCCAGCAGCGATTTGAGGCCGAGCTTGGGCTGCTGAAAGGCAGGATGGGAGGCAGCGGAGGCTGCCGCAGAGGCGGTGCTGCAGCACCACGGCTCCCCAAAAGGCGCCCCACCCTCGCCAGGGGTGGCCAGCAACGGCATGCCCACCGGCAGCAGCCATCAAAAGTGCCGAGAGGCCATCGAAGGCCTGTATTCTCAGGCAAGGTTTGGGCTGTAGAGTGCATGCCTCGCATGGATTAACGAAAAAGTGCTGACCCCGGTGCGCCACACCCACTCCCTATTCACTGCAGATGTGGCGCGAGCGCCTGGGGAGGCAGCAGGCGCAGGCAGAGGCGGTGGAGCTGCGGATCAAGGTGTCGGAGCACCAGGCTGCTGCGGGTAGCAGCTTGAGCGATGCGGGGCTAGATGAGGCGGTAATGGAGTCCCTGGAAAGGGTGCGCTCCGCTGACACATGCTTGGGACTTGCTGGGGTAGATGTCAGCTAGCTTGCTGCCGACAGGTTTTGGATCCCTGCCAGTCTGTTGAGCGTATATGTGTGTGTGCCTTTGCAGGAGATGAAGAGGGGCGACCACTTGGCAGACGAGCTGAGGAGGCACAAGGTATGACCCGCTGGGCAGCGTTGCTCGATGCAGCTGCCACTCTGCATCATCTTTCAACGTCCGGCTTGTCTGCTGGTTCAACCACAGGTGCACCAGCTGAAGCTTCAGAAGCGCACCGAGCAGCTTGAGTACCAGCTCGCTGAATACAACACCCTGCTGATCGCTGCCGAGGGGGTGGACCAGCTGCCCCGCCTGAGCGGCAGCCCATCAAGCAGCAGGCAGGCCGGTTCCCCCAAGCACGCAGGCTCCTCGCCTGTGAGGATGGCCATCGCGGCAGTACAGGCCAGGAAGGCTGGCGAGGAGGCGGCGGCGCTGCGGGAGCAGCTCAAGGTGGTGCAGGCCGAAGCTGCCAGCTTGCGCAGGTGAAGCACCTTTCGACGGAACTGACACATGTCCTTGCTGCATCCTGGCCTTTTGCACCTCCCGAAACTCAATGCTGCAACCACCGCATGATGCAGGCGGGAGCGCGAATCGGCTGTGGTGCTCAGGGCGGCGCAGTCCCGGCGGCGCGAGCTGGAGGGGCAGCATGCCGCCCTGGCCTCTGGACTGGAAACGCTGCAGCACTTGCTGGCCAGGAAGGGCCAGCGTGGCTCCACCAGCCCTGCCAGGTGCAGCCCAACACGCACGATGCCACGCTGCAGGGAGGGCAGCCCGGCAGTCGGGGACGCAATGGCGGCGTTATCTGCGCTGCTGCACGGCTTCAGCATGCACTCGGAAGGAGTGTCCAGCAGCCGCGTTTCGGTGCGGTCCCCTCAAGGCAGCGAGAACGGCGGGGGCGCCGGAAGTGTGATGAGCACTGCAGCACAGGTGGCCCTGGCGCTGCCCGAGGGTGGAGGGGCCGCGGAGAAGCAGTCCGACCCTCTGGACATCAGCAGCCTGCTGCCGCTAGGAGACAGCGAGGATGAGAGCGGCAGGGCGGCGCAGGTGGGCGGCGCAGACCGCAAGCGTGGCTCCGCAAGTGCTGCCGCCGGCGCACGCATGGAGCGCCAGTCCTCCTCGGCATCCAAGTCCAGCACAGGCAGTGGCAGGATCCCTGCCGCGCGTCAGAAGCAGGGGCCAGCTGAAGACGCTCTGCGTGCGTCCTTGCCAGACAGCCTGCCGGGAAGCCGCAGGAGCCAGACCCGCATCCCTGCGCCACCAGCCACCGCCCGCGATTCGAGCAGCCCAGCTCGCAGCAGTCCTTGGAAGAGCAGCCCCGCCAAAGGCAGTCCCAGCAAGGGCGGCAAGGGGGGGCTGAGGAAGCTGGTGCTGCCCTGCGGGCGCCTGAATGCAACCCTAAGCAGCGGCGATGGTGCCTAAGCTTTATGCGTTCAATCTGTATGCGTCCAAACTGTATGCGTCCAATCTATTTGAGCTTCAAATATGTTATGAACAGTGATTATTACACACAAACCAGCCCATAAGCAATCTCCAAGTCTCAAGGCAGCATCACCTTCAAAGCATCACCTTCAAAGGAGCACACATGCATGTACTGAACCACCAACATGAGTCTCTGCCAATACAGTCCTAGTGTGAGCCAGCATGGATGATGTCCAGAACCACACGCAGCCGCCCCTCCATCTCCTTCCAGGCGCCCTGGTGAGTGGCCACCAGCATCGCGTCAAAGATCGTCTGCTGTTGCCCCAGCTCAAAGCCGCCCCAGCCCTCCACCACCTCCTGCGGATGCGGCATCAAGATCAAGCGGTGGGCTTGACACGACGAAAAGTATATATAGGTAGGCGCCCATCTGGCGCAGCCGCTCCCTTGCTCCGCACCTCCAGCCGATGGCCGCACAGCTCCACCAGCGACAGGGCATCCAGCGGGCGCAGCATGCTGCCGGAGCTGGTCCTGTCTGCCGCCAGGAAGTGCCCCACAGCTTCCTGCACGCCACGCACGGTCGCCTCTGCTGCTCGCATCTGCAGCAGGTTGCTGCCGCACGAGGTGCCAGGTGCCGGGGGGCGACTGCCAGTGGCGGCCGCGCTGCAGCTCACGCCGCTGTTGCGCAGCACGCGGTGCAGCTTGCCCTCGAGACCCTGCCACGACTGGTTTCTGACGGAAACCACCACACCGTCGTGCAGCTTCTGCTGCACAGCTGCGGGGTAGGCCGCCCAGCACAGCACCACCTCCTACAGGCAGGGCGCGGCGGAAATCACTGAGCATGCTGTTGGGACGGACCCACATGCCACTGGGACCCGTCCCTCACCTGCAGCGTCGGTCCGCCGTGCCCGACCGACGCCAAACACTGTAAAGCAAGCAGCGTCGATGGCCCAAAACTGGAGGTTTTCTCCAAGTGCGCCTCAGCCTGCTGCAGCACGCGCTGCATTGTGGCCTCGGCCTTCTCTGCCAGGTTGGCTGTGGCTGGGCCGATGCCTGCCTGCTCCAGTGCCGTAGCCGTCGCAGCTGCTGCCGCACTGGCTGCTGGGGGGGTGGAGTGTGGCGCGACAGCCGCCACGGCCGCTGCTGCTACCGCTTCTGCCACCTGCTGCATCAGCTGCGCTTGAGTGTAGAGATGCATCTGTGTGTGCGGGTCGGCCTCGTTGCCTGAGCGTGCCAGCTGCTCTGCCGCCACTTGCTGGGCTGTGGCCACCTGCCTCATGCTGCTACGATACAAGTCCATCAGATGCCGCCGCTCCTCCTCTCCCCCACTGGTCGATGGCCTGGGCCTCTGGGCATCATCAGCGGGGCTGCTGAGTGGCTGAGCAGCCAGCCTGTGGCGCTTGGCAGGGCCTGTCTCGGTCTCTTTGGGCTCTGCTGCTGCAGCTTCACCTGCCCCAGGCAAAGCTGCTGGTGGCTCTGCAGATTGCTGATGCTGGGCCTGCTGCTTGCGTTTGCGCCCGCTTGATGCAGGCTGCAGGTCCAGAACGGATGAGCGCTGGGGGGCAAATGGCAGCGGCATGGCTTCCTCCTCCTCGGCCTCTTCAACAGGCTGCAGCAGGGCTTTGCGATCATCCACAACAATGTCAGGCTGGGACTGTCGTGACAGGGCCTTCCATCCAGCCCCAAACATCCATTGCTAGGTCAGGTCCGGCGACTGCAACTCCCACATGCTACCTCACCTCCTCATCCTGCTCCACTTTTGGAGGCTTCGATGCTTCACCCCAAGCCGCTTGGCCAGCCTGCTTGCGGCTGCCGCTCGGTCTGCAGCTCGCATGCGGTAGGGCGCCGGCTGGCTTCACTGGAAAGGAAGCCGCCACAGGCATCGACCGCAGAGTGGCTTGGCGGGACAGCCGCGCATGGGCCCGCCCGGCATGCCAGCCCAGAGCAGGAAGGTGCAGGCATAGTGGCTCCGGCAGACGTCATGCTGCTCACATGCACCCACCACTCAGCCACCCACCTGCCCTTGGGCTGCTGTGTTGCGGGCACGCGCCGCACCAGCAGCTCGCTCCCCTCTCGCTTGAATGCAATTGAGTCGCAGGGCTGAGCCCCGGTGTCTGCCACCCACTCGCGCATCTGCACATCACAGGTAGGGGGCACACGCGCAGCTGGCAAGCTGGTGATGGGATTCCCATGCACTTCAAGAGTGCTGCAGGCAGGCAGGTGCGCAGACTGACACCAAACAGCACGGCCAGTGCCCCACCACAAGCTGCCGGTTGCTCGACTGCTTGTAGCGGAAGGTGACGATCCTGTCTAAGTCCACATCTCTGGCCTCCAGCACATCAAGCGGGGCCATGGGCGGCCTGCCTGCCAACATCTCAAACATGTCCGCTGCACAGCGCAACAGAAGGGCGGGGTTTGAGGCGGGTGAGGGTAGGTGGACGCGGCGAGCGCCCGCAGGCGAGCCATTGTGTGCTGTGATGAAGGACCACAGCGGTTGTAACTGCCCGCCTGTGCCAGCAGCCAGTGCCTCAGGCGCACCGTGGAAACTCATCACCGAGTTGCATGCGTCGCATGCGGTGACAGAGAGAGGGCGCAGCCACCAGCCATCGCGTAGTGAAAACACGCGCGAGGACACCTTGGAGGTGGCTGTTGCGGCTGCAGAGCTGCCGGCCCTTCCCAAGGATGCACGCTGCCGAGGAGGCTCCCGCTGTGATGGTGGTGGTGGTGGGGCTGCTGCAGCGGTGGCAGCGGCTGCTGCGCTGCACCTTCCTCCCGCCTCTGCTCCTCCTGCTGCGGCCTGCCGGTTGGCCGCCTGCACGGCGGCTTTCTGGAGAGGGACCTCCCAGCGGTGCGGGAAGCACCCCGCCGCGTGCAGGACAGCCAGGTCAAGCACCACAGGCTGCTCGCCGGCGGCGCTGACCACGCAGCCGTCCAGGCTAGCACCAGCTGGCGCGCCCCACGCCAACAGCTGCTGCACATAGTCAAACGGGTCCTGGAGCGCGGCAGCATAAGCGGGGGCTTGGCCCAGGAGATGGCAGACATCCTGCTGCAGCTCACGCATGGAACGGCTGCCTGGCCCGCCCACAGCCTCCCTGCAGCAGCAGCAGCAAAGCACGCCAAGTCACCAAGTGAGCTCGCTGCAGGGCGAGCGCAGCAGCAGAGGTGTTGCATGCCTGGAAGCAGCAAGCAGTGCGCCTGGTGACGAGCTGCCTGGGCTAAACATGCCGCCAGGCACCCATACCCGCCCAGCAAAGAAGGTTGGCTCACTTTGCTGTTGGTATCAACTGCCGCAAGCAGCCTACGAGGCACCGCAAGCGCTCGGCAGGGCCCGCTCCATGCCGCTTGGACAGTTGCAGCAGCTGCTGCACCCCCCGCTGGGCTGGGCCCTGCCTGGACGAGGGACGGCCGCCTGAGGTGCGCGCCCCTCCGCTCAAGCGTTCCAGCGAGCCTCGGGGTGCCATCACTGTGCCCTGCGCCTGCCGCTGCCGAGGCAGCGGCGCTTGCCGCTTGTTCTTCCCTTCAGGATTCATCAGAAAGATGACGGGCTCGCGAGCCAGATCAGCATCCATCTCCTGCCCGTCCACCTCGTACACGATCGTGTGCTTGCCAGAGCTGCAGTCAAGCCAGGAACTAAGTGGTCGCTCGAGCCCTGGGCTGGTGTGATTTCGGCATCGACACACCAACCAATCAACGTTGTACCTGCGGCAGAAGGCGTCGATCTTTGCGCAATACCAGCTGTTGTCGCCCGCCCAGAACACCTTCACCCGCTGCCCAATCTGCGCTACGCCCAGGCCCTCTGGAGGGTGCTGTGCCGCATGTTGCTCCTGCTGTGCCCGATCCACCGCCTCCCGCTCCAACGGCAGTGGCCAGGCAGCAGGGTACAAGCCTGAAGGGCAGTCGCTGGCAGACAAGCTGGGGCGTGCAGCATGCGCCCTGCCTGCCTGTTTGCTTTCCCCCTCCTCTGCCCTGCGACATCAACCATCTCAACAGCCATCTCAAGTCCCACCCCACTCACCAGCTGCATGCATGCGCTCAAAATCGGGCCCGCCAGGGAGGCCGGGCAGCGGCAGCTGCAGGAAGCGCTCCGCCTTGTCAGCGCTGATGTCGCGCCCAGTGGCCTGTGACAGCAAGTCCCCGAGCATCTGCCACTCATTGCGGCCGTCCTGCAAAGCGGAGGCACGTGTTTCAGCACTGCCATTGATGAGGAAAAGCCGAGGCCAGCACGACTGGCAGAAGCGCCAGCCAGCCGGTTCCAATGGCAGCAAGAACAGGCGGCGCCAGACGACTCACCGCAAGGTCTTTCAGAACAGAGGCACCCAGCTGCAGGGTCAGCGCTGCTGCCACCGTGTCAAACGAGGCGCTATGCAGGTCCTCTTCCCCAGGCAGCACCTCTTGACCAAACAGCGAGGCGCAGTGGGCGGCAAATCGGCGCAGCTGCTGCAGCTTTGTGTTGGCGGCGTCCTTGCGGGCGCTCAAGCTGGCGGGCGGCTGTTCTGTCGTTGACGGCAACGACGATAATGCAGGGTTGGCAGCGGGCTGCATCAGGTTGAGAGTGCCCTGCTGACTATGGCTGTGGCTGCAGCCTGCGGCGCCACTGGCACTGCCGCTATCACAGCTACTGCACGGGCAGAAAGATGGAAGCGTCTCTCCGAGGAGTTGTGGGCGCCTGCATCCACTAAAACTTCATCGCAGCAGGACGCCATCAGCGGCTCGCACGTTGATGGGCACCACTGGCACCCACCTGGTGCCTGCACCGCAGGGCTGCTCCCCCGCTGGCTTCACCATGTCATCTGCTGCTGCAGGTCCCCCTGCCTCATCTTCTCCTGCTGCAACTGCTACCAGCTCCTCTCCCTCGTCTGCTGCTGCTGCTGCTGCCGCCGCTGCCGGCGGCTCCCCTCCCTCGTCGTCGTCGTCGTCTGCTGCCTCCTGTTCACCTATCTCTGCCTCTGCCATTTCCAGCTCAGGCGATCCCCCAGTGCCCTCTGCGCCGTGCCCATCATCCTTGGATCCCTGGCCTGCTATCTGAGCTAGTGCCTGCACAGCAGCCTCTTCAGCTTCTGCAGCCAATGACTCGTGCTGCTCCTCGGCCGCCTCGTCTGCCATGGCACAGTCCGCCGCCTGTTCCGCCATGACACATTCCGCCGCCTGTTCACAGTCCTGCTGGGGTTTCAATACGTTGACAGTCATGCAGCGAGTGCGATCATCCGAGAGTGCAGCGGCGCGGCCTGCGGTCCCCAAATTGTGGTGCCTGTGCTTACCTCCAACGTCTGACCAAGGGGGCTCTCCTCTATTGAAGGCGCACGCTGCCACTGCAGCTTGCCGTCTTGCTGCCGCTGGGTGGGCGTGGGGAGCCAGTCGTCGCGTTGCATGAAGAGCGGCGGAGGTGCGCAGCCCTCCCGGTCGGGTTTCACATCCGATGCAGAACCTCGTCCCAGCAGCTGGACTTTGGCGTGTGCAGATGGCAGGGTGCTGCCTGCAGTAGCCTGCTCGCCGGCCGTGCCCTCATTCTTGCAGGGAGGAGGCAGAGCGGTGTCTGGCAGTGCCGCCGCCCCCGGCGACGGCACAGCAGAAGGGGGTCCGGCGCTGTTGACTGCTCCTGAAGACACCTCCACCACTGCACCATCGCTGAGATGCTCCTCGGGCCCTGCAGAGAGCAGAAATGGCGACCGAGTGGGCTCCTTCCGTTCGGCAACTAGCGCGTGTGGGAGCGTGACAAAGCACTGTAGCAGCACTCAGATCGCCAGCGAGCGCACCCGTCACCGCATGGCCCTCCATCGCTGGAACTGATCAGCCGTGCCGACTTCAAGACCGCTCTCGAGAGCCGTCCCTGGCCTCCAGCGAGAGGCAAGGCCTCTAGGAGCCGCTCAAATGAGTATCGAGCCCATCATGGTATGCATCATTAGTGCTGTTAGCGGCGCGTGCCGTCCGCCGCAAGAAGGTGGTGTTATTACACTGGAGAATAACTGGGGAATGTACACCTAACAACAATCAGTGTTTATTGCAGAATATCTATACACGGTCAAGATGCAGCTGGTCGCTGCCGGCGGAAGTGCTTGCATGCGCTACACGTTGTTGGGGCTGCCGCTGAGCTCCACGGTGTGGGCATGGGTGCGGGGAGGGGGGCTGGCGGGGGCGGGGGACGTCTCGCCAAAGGTTGGCGGGGAGGCGGAGTCTCCATCAAACGCTTCATCCAGAAACCTACAGCGGCAGGCCGTCATGCCGTGATCTTGTGAGGCAGGCAGGTAGGTAAAACATCCTAGCTTTTGCATGCTAATTATCCAGAGCACAAAGAGCTGCGCAAGCGTGCAGCAGCGCACTTTTCAAACTTCATGCTGCTGGCTGCAGTCTTGGGGCCGCGCCGGCGCCCCAAGACCAAAATCCCGCCCACCACCGCAGCTGCCACCGCCACCACGACTGCATGACATAAAGAGAACTGGGCCTGTAAGGGACAAAGCAGAAGACCCCTGCAACATTGCAATCTCTCTGGCAGCCACTCGAGCAGTTGTGGCGGCGATCACTCACTGCCGACTGAGATGCCGACTATGGCGCCCGTGCTCAGCCCTCCACCACCACCGCTGCTGTCGGCGCTGCTGCCGTCAGTGCTGCCAGTGCTGCCACTGCTGCTGCCGTCGGCCCCGGATTTGTCCGTGGATGAGCTTAGCTGGTTGCCCTCCAGGTCCACATTAACCTGCTGGGTGATGTCCGACATGAAGGCAGGCACCTCGCCAGTCAGCTGGTTCTGCACCACCGAGAACAGGTTCCACAGAGACGCCATCTGGCTGAGCGGGGCCTGCAGAAGGCAGGGATGGGGAAATTGGTCGGCATAGCTTGATGAGCCGCCCGTCAAGCACAAGATGGGGAGCTGGGGAGCCAAGCAGCAAGGGGGCCAGGGCCCAGCCTACCCTCCCTGGTCTTACCAGCTGCCAGATGCCCGTTTTCTGCCAGCCCTCTCCCAGGCTGCCAGTGAAGCTGTTGCTGTCAAGCGACAGGTAGCGCAGTGCGGCATACTGGCCTGCCTCTGGGTCGGGCAGCACGCCGCTGCAGAAGCACGGCGCAGATGACCACACTGGTTGGTATTCCTGTGGGTGGTCCCCAGCGGGCCATGCCAGCAACCGTATGGAGGCGCGCCCCACGCAGATATGACCCTGCTTGCCTGAGGCGGTTCTCACTGAGCAGGAAGTATGTGAGGTTGGGGTAGGTGGCCAAGGCCAGTGGGAACCCGCCCTCGAGGCGGTTCAGGGAGGCCCGCAGGTAGTTGAGTGGGGCAGTGGCTCCCTCGGTGGGCGGCTGCTGCCACTTGCTGGGCAGCGAGGTGAGGGAGTTGTCATGCAGGTTGAGGCTGTACAAGGCCGGGTGGCCAGCCAGGCTGTCCGGCACGGCGCCTGCAGGAAGTGGTCAACATGACAGAGTGCTGAATGGCGGGGCATGGAACGCTGCCGAGCGGCCACATCCAGCTGTGGCACACAAGCATCCTGTGCAAAACCCACCACTTAATTTGTTAGAAGCCAGATTCAGCACTGACAGCTTGGTGCTGCCAAACTCTGGGATCTCGCCTGCAGGGACGCCGAGCGCGGGTAATTTCTGGTGTCAACCAGCAGGGTGCGGTTCCTCGACAGCACAGCAGCAAGGCTGGTACAGAGTGTGAAGGGGGTGGGCGGAGGGGCCTTATTACCTGACAGAGAGTTGTTTGAGATGTCCAGAACACTCAAGTTGGGCGCGGAGGCCAGGGAGGGTGGGATGCGGCCATTCAACTTGTTCTGCACCCATAGGGTGGTGCGGAACGGGACCCTGAGCATAGCAACGATGCATACTGCACTTGGCAGCCTATGGAAAGCCCCGGCATCACCTCCCTCACATTTCCCAGATCGAGCACTTGCAGGCGCGTGGCAGTGTCAAAGGCATCAGGGATAGTGCCCGTCAGGTGGTTGTTAGAAGCACCAAACTGCACAGAGGGCGGAGCAGGCCGGTTCAGCAACAAGCTCTGGCTGTACAGCAGCTGCCAAGTTCCACCAAATGGGTGTGGCACCTGCTCTGCAGGACAGGGCTTCTCACCTGAAAAAGTGTGGACTTCGCATCAAACAGGCAGTGTGGCAGCTTGCCCTTGAGCCCCATCCCGCTCAGCTGCAGCATCTCCACGGTTCCCTGGACCAGGTTGCACACATCCTCCCCCAGCTGCCCGCCCAGTTGCTGTGAGCAGCACAGGGAAGGGACAGGGCGAGATTTCAGATGTGCGATCCCAACACCTCCCAGCCTGCTGGGTGTGGCACAGTGGCCTGCCAAATGCACGCACCTCGTTATTCATTAACCCCAGCTCCTGCAAGTCCTCCAGAGCTGCCAGGAAGCGGGCGGCGTCATTGATGTCTCCCTGCAATCGGCATGGCATTTCATTTTGAGCAACGGGCATTGCTTGTGAGCGACGGTAGCACATAATGAAAATAAGTTCTTTATTGTTAACAACTGCTCTACAAAGCAATATAATGAGACGACCTTCCAGCTATGGTGAGACGACCTTCCAGCTCACCGAAAACTCGTTGTAACTAAGATACAACATTTGCATTTTGGGGAATTTGACAAAGAGGTCTCCGGGGAATGGGCAGCTCATGCCCCACCCTGCAGCAGGCAGAAAATAGCATCAGCGTTACTCCTGTTTGTCACAAAAAGGAACAGTGCCCGTCAACTTCAGTGAGCCCGGCAGGTCGTGGCACCCACCACGTGCGTTCAGCACCACCAGGTGGCCATCATTGCAGGTGCCAAACTGGCACAGGTCTGTGTCAACGGTGCCAGCTTCCTGGTCCTGCAGAGATGCCATCATTGTGAAATGGTGTGATCTGGGAGCATTGCCCTCAAAGTTGCCCGGCTTGTGATGCCGCCTCACCTCTTTCTTTGCTGCGCGCTCGCTGGCAACCTTCCACTCTCTGCAGCTGCCATCTGGGCAGCACCTGCAGCAGCAGAACCCAAGTACCCGTCGAGGTCATCAGTACCAAACTTGGAACCAGACGAGCAACTGTGTCTGTCCACTAGTCGCCAGCACGCCACGGCAGCACCAGCCCGCACGCGCCTGTCAAACAGCTGCTTTGCAACCGCCTGCTCCGCAGCATTCAGCGTCGTCTGGTTGCTGTTGTCAATAAATGCCGTCTGCAGCTTGTACTGCACACACAGGAGAGACCAGCATGGAGTTGCGTAGTGCTGCCAGAAAGTACTAGCCGGTGGCGGAGGAGGAGGAAAGCTGCAGGGAGGAGGAAATGCAGGGCACTACAGGTGCAGCACAGATGGGCGGTGGGCATGCCTCTGTAGGGGTGGGGGTGGCCACCGCTGCTGGGTACAGGGCCAGCGAGCCGCAGCAGTGCATTCCTTGCCCAGGTTGGGGGCGGCAGGCCCCCACCCCACCCACCGGCCAGCACTCCCACCCTCCCACCCCCCTCCACCCGCCCCCACCCCACCTCACCCACCCACCCCGCCTACCCCGCCCACCCCAAGGCATGTGACCGGCAACATCCTGCAACATGCAACTTGAACATTGCTGTCGCAGGCTTCAGCCAGCATGTTTCAACGTGGCTGCTCACGCTGATGGGTACATAGCCGCGGTTGTAAGCAGAACAGGTGTAAACAGGCGGGGAGCCTGCAGTCACACAACAACTTGGGCACATCAAACCGCTCCAGCCTTGCCTTGCACTCCCTCCTACAACAGACCCATCCACCGCCAGCGCACCTGGGTCATACTCATCGACTGGCGGTATGACCACGACGTCTTGATTCACACCGATGGCCTCTGAAGCAGCAGTAGGCGGCACGCATTCAGGCCAGGCAGTCAAACAATGGCTCATTGGGAGAGCGGCGGGCGGGGGTTCATGCATCACTCCACCACTGCCCCATGAGGAGCTGCTCGCTCACCCGACTGGAAATCTGCATAATCGGGCCCCGGCTCAATGCCGCTGCCCTTGCTGCAGTACAGGTCCACGTCGCTGCTGCCATCCCCCTGCAAAGAGATCACCGCAAGGGGGACATTTTATGGGCGGCATCGCTGTCGAGCCTTGCGGGCGCAGATTTGCTCAGCTGCTCACCAGTGGTGTCAGGGTGATGCGTATGCCGGGGTTGGTGCCGGCCCGCGCCGAAATGGGGTACGTGCGGGCACTCAACGCTGCCACAGTATCAATCTGCTGTTGCGAGGCCTCGGGTGTCAGGCTGGAGTCGCCAGACGGCGTCTCGGCTGCTTGAGCGGGCAGCAGCAGGAGGACCGGGAGCAGCGCCAGCAGTACGCGGCAGGCTGGCGGCGGTGCCTGCCCTGCTGGTGGAGGTGGAGTTATGCCGGGCTTGCTCTTCGGATGGCTTCCGACACGGCTGCCCAACACCAGGCTGCCCAACACTCGTGACGGACAGCGCAGCCTGCAGCGCAATGCAACCCCCGCATGGTGGTGGAGCACCGCACCACATTCGGCGAGTGCCCGCAAAAATCAGCGATGTTTCATGAAACCAGAGCCATGCCGCTAGGTACTCCCGAGGTATAGCGAGCACCAGCGGCACAGAAACCCTGCCCACCCCGCTGGGTGCCCCGAGCAGAGGGCAAGCGCGTTGTTACTCGCCTGCAGGGGGCCGCCGCCAAAAATAACTTGCTGCAGCGCCCCATCCCGTTTCCTGGGCCGGTGCCAGCGTGGCGTGGCACCGCCACGTCACGCATTTGGGGGTTTGTTTCCTGGGTGGGGGATTCGATGTCCAGCAGTTTCAAAATGCAGTAATCACACTGAAGGCAGAAAATGTAATGGGGGTGCAGTATGTGGTCATACTAGTATATGCCAGGGGCAGCACAGGCTGGCTACGAAGCAGCAACTGCGTGCCGGTGGGCTGGTGCTTGGTACTGGCTGTGCTGCGCCTTCTCATGCTGCCCACCATGCTGCGCCTCCTGCTGGTGCTGGTGCTGCTGGGGGTCGTGCGCCGAGGGCGGGTGATCCCCTGCCTCGCTGGACGAGTCTAGAGGTTGCACAAACGCATGTCGCAACGTGGTGGCGCTCAGGGATGCCGCGTCATCCAGCAAGTGCAGGATGTCGCTGCACGCTATGGTGAGCACCCGCGGCGCCCCTGGCAACCCTTCTGCTGGCAAGTCGCCTTCACTGAAATCCTCAACATTCACTTTAGGTAGGTGGTGCTGAGGTGCTCGAGCTGCTGCGTGCGCGGGGCAGCGCACCACCACCTGCTTGCCGCCGCCGTCCACCACCCGGCTGGTGCTCTGCAGCGAGTGGTACTCTGCAGCAACAGCAGCAGCATGCGGGGAGGGCAGAGCTTATGCCCCTCCAATCAGTGCTCGAGCTGCTTCCTTTTCCTCCGATCACCATTTCCCCCTACCCACCTGCGAGGCCGTGGGCGATGAGGCGGTGGAAGCCATCCTCCAGCCCCTCGACCACCAGCTCGCTGCCCTGGCCCCCATCCTGGGGCAGGCAGGCAGGCGGGCAGGCAGGCAGGCAGGCAGGCAGGTGTGGTGCATGGGGACAGGGAGCCGCAGGTTCACAAACTGTCTGCCGGTAGCTGCAGCACTGCCAGCACCTCATCAGCCCCAATGCAAATGCCACTGCGCGGGGCGCCGCGCACCTGCTGCTGCAGGAAGGCCAGGAGCTGGGCCTCAATGGCTTCGCACGTGGTCGGGGCCCGCTTCATTGCCTGCCGTGCCTTGAAGCTGACGCCCGCCCAAGCCGCCAGCGCATCAATGGCGGGGTCGGGGATGGCGGCCGGCCCAGCTTGCAGCTCCCGCACGTGCGCCTCCCACTTCTGGGCCAGGGGAGGGCAGGATCCAAGGCCGCGGGCACAGGTTGGTGAGCAGTAGAGGCAGCCGTCATACGTGGAAGCTGCGGGCCCGCCCGGCAACCCCGCCCATGCTTCCCTCCAGTCTCCCACCTGCAGCACCCTCGTCTGCTTGTCCATGTCCAGCGAGCGAAACATGTCAAACAAAATACGGTGCTCGGGCCTTGCCGCCTGCTCCCACAGACTGGCCCTCTGCTCCCCAAAGGGCACCGGCTTGAACAGGCTGGCCATGTCGGCGGCACTCAGCGTGCCCGCCATTTCGCGCAGCAGCTTGTCGTTCAGCCAGCGGCGCTGCACACAGGGGAGGTGTGCAGGGAGGCGAGCAGGCTCAGTCATCGAGCAAGCAGAGCAGCGCCTCTCAAGCTGGCACCCACCTGCTTGCGCTGCCCTACGCGTGACAGGGCATACAGCTCTGCCTGCTCAGCCTCGGAATACGCGAGGCCTGGTGCCGCTGCCGTGGCTGCCCTTGGCAGTGCTTTTGTCCACCCCTCCTTGGGCTCTTTGATGGCGCCCGGGCGCCGGCGCTGCGTGGCACCACCGTGGCTGGCACCATGCTGCGGGCGCAGCAGCTGGCTGTCTAGGAATGCTGCCAACGGGCGACCGTCTGGCATTATGTAGGGCCCGGCCGAGCGCGGCTGGGGCGCCTCGGGCGGCGCCGCCTCCGCCATGCCTGGAGGGTCCTGTGGGCGTGGCGGGGAGCTTCTGTGGGCCTGCTGGTGCCCTGCTGATGAGCTAGAGCTCGACCCAAAGCGCGCGTGGGCGCAGGTGAGGTGGGAACCAAACAAACGCAGCTCCTCAACACACGCAGGTCGACAGGCGGGCAGTGAGGTCTCGAGCAGCAACAGGCCATGAAATGAAGGTCGCGGAGGCTGCTGTCGCCTGGGCTTCACAGCACAGCACGATGGCCCCGCGTTTGCCTCCTCTCGCAATCCCGAGGCATTCATTTACGTAGTGTTTCAACTGCTGAGATCACGGCGCTACTGGTGGGTGTGCACAGAATTGGTCGGGGGCACCGCACCCTCTCTTTGACCTGCAGCGTGAAAGCGTGGTCTGGCTGAGCAGTGCCTGTCAACGGGAGGCGGACAGGGCGCGCGACAGCGCTGATCGCCCAGTATGGTGAGCTTCTTGATCAGCCTGCTTGCTCGATAGTGGCTTGGCCTTCTGGAGCACTGGGGCCCTTGCCGGCCTGGCAGCAATCATGGCAGGAGGGTGGCAGCGACATTGGCCTCTGCCGGGCCATCGTCTTTGGCGGCATACTGCGGCGGGTGAGCGCCCCTCGCTCGCCCCTGCAGGACTTCCTGTGCGGCATCCGCGGCAAGGACTTTGTGATGGTGTGCAGCGACACGACGGCGGTGCAGAGCATCGTGGTGATGAAGCAGGACGAGGACAAGCTGGTGCCTGTCGACTCGCACAAGCTGTTTGCCGTCAGCGGCGAGGCAGGTGACCGCGTCAACTTTTCAGAGTATATCATCGCCAACGTTCGGCTGTATGCGCTGCGCAACGGTGCCACGCTGTCCACCAAGGCCGTGGCCAACTACACGCGCAGCGAGCTGGCCACGGCACTTAGAAAGGTGCGGTGGCGGCGGCAGGCAACCTTGGGGTGCCTTGCGTGGGCCTGGCGTCCTTGCCTGTCGTGCCCGGTACTGGCCTAGCTAGTGGTCCACCAGCACAGAGCGCTGCATCTCACGTCCCCGCCCGCACCCCATGTGCAGTCGCCATACCATACCAACCTGCTGATGGCGGGATACGACCAGGGGGAGGGCGGCGGCCCTGCACTCTACTGGTGCGACTACCTGGCCACGCTGCACCACATGAACATCTGCGGCACGGGATACGGTGGGTGGAGGCAGCGGTGCTGCCAGGCACGGGATGTGCTTCACAGTACGGTGCAGGCAGTGTAGGAGGCAGGCTGGAGCATGGGGAAGCACGGCGTTCCATGTCGGCCATGCCCTGCAACTCGCGCCACGCATTGACCCACCCCGTTCGCACTGCTGCCTGCAGGCTCCTATTTTGTGCTGTCCATGTTTGACAAGCTGTGGCACCCCAATGTCACGGAGGCAGAGGCGTTTGAGATGATGCGCAAGGGTGTGGACGAGGTGAAGAGCCGACTGGTTGTGGCGCCTCCAAAGTACGTAGTCAAGGTGATCGACAGCCAAGGCATCCGCACGCTGGGCGAACTCTGATTGCATTGCTTTGATTTTTTTCTTTTGTTTCGTCGCACACGCTGTTGTAAGGCCGCAGCAAAGCAAAGGGGCGGTGCAAGAGCAAGGCGCACAAGCCTGCCCAGTGTCGGCGAAGCAGCGCACCGGCGTCTTGCGGAGACACATACAACAGGAATTGCCAGCTCCCAGCGTGCAGCTCAAATCCTGGCCTGCAGCAAGCTGTGTGGCTGGACCAGAACAGCTGCGAGCGTGCGCCAGGCCTGGCAAGGACACCTGTGCCAGGCGGTGCCAGGCGGGATTGCCACTCAAATGCTGCGGCCGCATGCGGATTTCTTCATTGCGGCAGAAGGCGATGCCCGCACGCCATGGAGCCCATCAACATCAACGCCGAGGCCCTGCGAGTGCTGTCAGCGCCCTCCCACGACGCTTGGGCTCAACTGGGCTTGGCCCGCGACGCCTCTCGTGCCGAGGTGAAAGCGCGTTACAAGCGGCTGTGTCAACTGCACCCGGACAAGAACCTGGGAAATGACTTGGCGGCGCGAGCCTTTGCCTTGGTTATCGCGGCGTTCACCGCCTGCTCCGCCAGCCCGCTGCACAGCAGCCAGCCAGAGGCTCAGCCACATGCCAACCGATGGCAGGCGTTTACCGGAGTGTCCCTGCTGCAGCAGCAGCAGCAGCAGCAGCAGCAGCAGGATGAGGCACCCGCGGTGTTCCAAAATGCCAATGGCGGCAGCTCTCAAACTGAGAACCGCACGCCCCCGACCGAGCGTGCAGCAGCTGCGGGAGGAGGGGGCACTTGGCAGGCCTCCAAGTGGGGCACGTATGGTGGCAGCAGCCTGCTGAGGGCGCAGCCGGTGGCTGCCGCGGCTGCTCCTACAGCAGTGTTAGCGCCAGAACAGGCCAGCACCCACAAGCAGGACCGACACTGGCAGCCGGCACCCGCGCCGAAGGTGGAGCGGCGCGCCAATGGCTCGTCACCGACCTGTGACAGTGCAAGCGGCAGCAGCGATGAGGATGATGGCGCTTTGGCGACAATTATGAAGCCATCAGCCGCGGGCCTGCAGCCTGCTGCATTCTACGGCAGCAGCGGCAAGCGTGGCACACCCCAGGCGCCGCCAGCAGCTGCAGCATCACTATATGGCTTGTTTGGTGGGCGGCGCAGCAGCGGTGGCCAGGCGGCCAGCTGGCTGGGCGCTCGCCACTCCGAGCACCACAGCCAGCCGCTGGTGCCGGGGCCAGCGGCGGCGACGCAGCAGTACACTGCACCGCAGGCTGGCAATAGATGGGCCGGAAAAGGCAAGCTGCTGGCAGAGCTGCTGAGGCAGCCCTCCTTGATGGCGGCGCCGGCACCAGCCGGTGCTGTGGGCGGCGGCCCGCCTGCGCGGGAGCAGCCGCAACAGGGCAGCGGAGCCGGGGATGGGAGGCGCAAGCGGCAGCTCAAGGAGGGGGTGGTGCTGAGCACGAGCACCTCTGCCAGCAGCAGCGACGAAGAAGAGGAGACCAGTGCCAGCAGCGGCGATGAGCTGCCTGAAGGTGCGTGGGGGCGGTCTTGCATGGGACAGGCTGGCTCCGAATGGCTGGGCACGGCAGCCAGCGAAGCAGAGCGCAACTCCCATAGGATTGGTGCCGACCATGCTCGCATGCTTCTCGCAGCAGCACGCCTCTGTTAGTCGACGTTGCCAGTGTTCTTAGGCGCAGCGCAGCCTACTTTGCGCCGTGTGCAGGCGAGGCAGGCAACGGGCCGCAGCGAGCAGCGGCGCCACCTAGGGCCAGGGAGCGGCTGGCAGCCGCGCTGTTCCGTCAGGAAGCAGCGGCTCGGCTGGCAGCACAGGCCGCCGGCAGCAACATTATCCAGCGGGGCAAGGCCAAGGCGCTGAAGCGATACCGCACAAAGCGGCAGAAGGGCGGAGGCGGCTTGGGCGGCAATGGCAAAGTGTCGTCTGGAAGGCAGCAGCAGTCAAAGCTAACCTTGACGGTGGTCAAACCAGCTGCTGCGTCTGCGACACAGCGTGCTTGACGTTGGCTTGGTACCTTTGCCATTGCTGGTGATGTCATCCGATCAAAGTTTCCCAAGGTTAGAGAGGGCCCAGCGGCGGGCGGTGGCGAGAGTGGAAAGCGAGGCGGGACCGTGTGTAAGCAGCTTAATCATTGTCACTCCGCTTTATCTGGCAAGCTTTATCTGGCGAGCTATATTTCCTGGCAACTCCTCACAGACTTTGTAGATCAAGTACGGTTCCTCCTTGCTCTGCCAGTCCTATCCCTGCCTTCCACTAGGTCGAGCAGCTGCTTCTTCCTCTGGCAGTGCCTCGTGACCTTGGCAGGGCTGCCAGGGCCCCAGAACGCAAGCCCTGCATCAGCAGCAGTCTTGAGTAGGCCCGTGACAACTCTCAGCCACTTCCCTGCCATTTTAGTCTTCCCTCCGCCTCCTGTCACACTGCCTGGGCCGGGGCTGGGCCTGCCATGACTTCCGAGGGGCACCACTGGAGGGACGGCACGCGCTCGCACTCTGTCGGGGACGGCTTCGCTCTGGAGCGTGGTGGCAGCAGCATCCTGTCCCTCAGCAGGTGAGGGGGATAGCAGGCGAGGGCAGGATGCCGCCTGAGAGTCGCCCGCCGTACGGCAAGGTTGACGCGCCGGCGGCTAGGGCGGCTCGCCGCCGCCAACTCACAAAATCGCTGCCCAGCAACAACCGCAGGTCCAACTCGGCTGTCGACATGCGACAGCTGACCAACGCCCTGGTGGAGGCACGGGAGGGCACCGGCGAGGTCCGGGCCATCCTGCTGCGCGCCGCCTTCAAGCCGCGCCTGCCAGGTGGGGCCTGCTATTCCGGTACAATTAGGTGCGGAGCGTACGAGCCAAGCTCACTAACCCAACCAGCCTGTTGCTGATGCTCAACTACAGGCCTGACCAAGATGGTGAGCAAGCTGAGCAAGGAGGGTGCCTGGCGCAAGGCGCTGGAGGTGTTCGAGACGGTGGACGAGATGGGGTGAGGCAGCGGCAGGGCCTGCCTGCTGGACTCTGCGTGATGGACCATGAAACCATTGGGAAATGCTCTGACTGCCTCCAGCCTGCCCGCTTATGCCGGTTGCAACCTGCAGGCTGGTGGCCGACACCGCGCTCACCAACTCTGCCATCACCCTGTGTTACAGTCACCCCGCTATGATAGGCCGCGTGAGCAGACCTTGGGCAGGGGGCACACGTGATCAAGGGGCATCAAGAGAGGGGGTGGACCATGGAGCACCCTCTCCATGGCTCCGACCACCCTCCCCCCAGCTGAGCGTCCCAGGGTCACCCCACCCTGGCCCCGCTCCCCGTCCTGCCGGACACGCAACCCCCACAACGTGGTGGGGGACGTGGGGATCCTTAGCAGCTTAGGCCTGCCAGGCCGACGGGTGCCGATGCTGGTGCGGGCTCCCGGCGGCAGGCAGCGCCGCCGCCGGGCACTCAAATGGCATGGGGCACATGGGCCCCCATGCCCGCACATCTCCCAGGCACATGAAAATACCAGAAGGCTGCACATGTAAGGGTGCATGCATTGCAGGCAGGAGTGCAAAGTGGCCTGCCGCGGCGGTCGGCTGTGCCATTACTCAGTCAGCCGCCGCTACCGTGCCGGGCTTGGCGTTCCCATGCCAACATGCCGGCGTGCCATCGCGCAAGGGGCCAGTGAGTGTGTGAGGCGG